GAGCTAAAACAACCCCCAGAATCTCATGTTGGGAAGGCACCATTGCAGACTTATCAGAACCGGTGGTATGACAGGCCAGGCAAACTGCACCCTGAAGCATCAATCAAGCTGAGCTAGTCATTCAGCTCACTAGCTGCACACTCATTTATATGGCTCTGTCCAATTCAGCATCATCCCTCGTAATAAGCAGCGTTCTTATTAACGGCAAAGCAAAGAGAAGCAATTTTTACAATGCTAAGTTTAAAAAAAAGACTATTTTAGGTTTTAAACAATTGCATTAGGACAGAACCCAAACTCACACAAGTGAGGAGTGATCCTGAGCGTCTCCATTTATGGGCCACCCTACTTATGCAACATCAAGGGGCTGATTTTCAAAAGGAGCCTGGTATCCAAAGGGCATCACCTGAAGTGTCTTAAGTTGGATGCCCAATATTAGCTGTCACTTCCAAAGAGTTGGGGATGTGTTTTACTGCAAGCACCTTAGAATTACAGACCCCAAGTTGAACTTGGGGTTCATCAGAAATTACTTCATTTCATTGCTTGGCAGATAACAGAGCAAGGCCAGCCTGAAAACTGCAATGCACTGGTGAATTAGGACCAAAGCTTTTAAAACTGTCACACTCCAGTCTTTAAGCTGGCTGAAGTGCAAACACAGGGGATGCTACTTGAACAACAAAAATAGGTTATATTTCATTTTTGGCTACTCCCAAAAGTATTTGTTGGCTCTTGTGTACTACAGCAGCAGCAGGTTATAAAGCCACCACTGGAAACAAGACGGAGGGAATGTTTAAAGAAGTTTCTATTGAAAAAAAAACTGTCTTTAACATTGAAAAAAAAAACCCATTCTTTTGTTTTCTTTTTTTGAAAAGTTCATATGCTAGCAGGGGGAAAAAAGTGATCCCAAGCAGGTCTATTAAATACTTAAGAGACTGAGAACTGTAATTGTGACTTGCCCTGCTGTCCTAGGAAAAGGTGGAATCTTGTCACTGATCTGAGCCCTGTTTATCTGATGCAAGACACAAGAAGCAAATAACTGGGAGGAATCAGACTTCACTTTCTCTCTCTCTCTCACCTTCCTACATAAGCCAGTGTCATTCCCAAGAGAACTGCAGCAATCAGTGCCAGAGATCAGTCCAGCAGCAGACTGGAAATAATTGCTTCACTAAAGATGGCAGGCCCCGGAGAGAGGAGCAAAATGCAACATGGGTGCAGCTGCAGCAAGAGCCTGGTTCTGAAAAGACCCTCACACTGGCCCACCAATCTGTCCTAAGCTTGACTTTACCGGTCAGAGGACAGTTCAACACCCAGCCTCTTCCATGCTTTCTCTCTCCCCTGGGGCTTCCAACAAGTGAAGCAATTATAGCCATTTCTGCACTAGATTTCTCTGTGTCACTGGGAAACTGGACTAAGAATCATCACCTCTCTTCCCCAGCTCGTTCCTCAAGGAACTGGGAACAAAGAAATAAAAAAGCAAATGGGGCTCCACATACACACAGCAAGGAGTGAGTCTGGCCCACACTTTCATTAAGCAAGTAGGAAATAAAATGGTAGGGTCTGAACATGAGACACTTTAGAAGTTGGACAACTAGACATCAAGGCATCTAAAAATCTATGGCTGCTTTTGCAAATTTTGGCTTTCATGTACAGAGATGGTAAAAGGAGGACAGTAGTATCAAGGATCAAGTGCCTTGAAACACCCTCTGGCCACAGCTCGAACCAAGAGTCTGCAGAACAAAAAGGGCAGGAGCAGCCGAGTGAAGAGGCATGGCTACTCCTCACCACGACTGAGCATGCAAAGAAGCTGCTAATCAAATCGCACTGGGATGAGAGGACCATTTAGTTGCATATACCTTACAGCATTTGGACTTGTAAACAGGCCACTACTTTTACCAATCTACCCATCCTGCTGAGGAGTGCCCTAGTTTAAATTAACCAACCAGAAAATCAGCATTATGCAAGGAGAGTCACCCTGCCGGTAGCATGCGATTGTAATGCTTCTGGATGACAGTTCCACTCCAAGATGGTGTTAATAGGTTCAGCATTTTAAGTGATTCTCAAGATTGGATGGTGATGAAAGGTATACATGCTACGTGGCTACATATGCACTTCAAATGGAATCACTGGAAATGGTCCGTGATTGTTTGATCATTACTTGTGTGCACGACTGTGTGAAGGGATAGCATAGATGAGTTACCACTTGAGCACTGACTTGTAGCTTCCGATGATCACTCCCATCTTGAGCCTCTGGGAATACGAGAGACTCCAGCGGGCTGAGAGGCCTGCTCCCAACACTGTAATTTCGTGGGCGCTTTATTGTGTCCGCACTGGCCAGAGGTGTAAAGCTGTTTCTTCTCATCCTTAAGGGAGTTTGGCTCTTTGAAGGGTTGGTCTGATTGAAAATGGAGGATATCACAAGGAATGAAAAGCAAAACTACAATCTGAAATCAAAGTCATGCCAACACATTTCTGTGACACCGCCAACACCCTGAAGCTACCGTAGCCACCAGCCAAATCCTGCCTTGGGTCTGCGTGCAGATCTCCCATTCAAATCAGTAGGAGCCTGACCCAAGGTCCAGGGATGTCCACAGAAAGATGTGCCTCTGCAAAGGACCAGGACAAGGACTGTGCACCATGCAAGTTCCCCAGAAGCTGCACCCGAAGAGCTCACGCACAGCAGACATGTTGGGTCTCTGGGAAAATTTAAACTACAGAGTCAGGGCAGGATTGGGCCCACTGATGGTTAAAAAAAAAAAAAAAAAAA